TATTTTCAATTATTTAATCCTATAGAATCATCAATAATTATTAGTTATAGTAAAACTGAAATTATCTTCTGATGAAAAAGTATATTTCAGATCAATGAATTTCTTTTGCATAGATCTTCTGTTGATGGATAATAAAATTCAAGACATTCTGTCAAACTTGTGTTCAGTGCTGACATTTTGCAGATATTATCAAGATCATTTACTTCATTAATAATTGTTGGCATCAGTTTCATATATTCTCTTCCAATACTTTCATGATTTTTGTAGCTTTTGATTGGTTTAGTTTTGTTTTTACATTTGAATCTTACCATCTGGAATTTATTTTAATGTAAAGTGAGAAGAATGAATCTAAATTTATTTTATTGCAAATCTTAGCCAGCTGTCTCAAAACACATACCATATAAACCTAGGCTTTTTCCATTGATCTGAAATGCCATATGCTAAATTTTCAAGTGAATCCTATGATCTATTTCTGGAATCTATATTGTTTTTATTGATCTACCTATTAATGATAGGTTATGTTTTTATATCAAATTCAAATTGCACATTTACTAAGGAATTTCTGTGTTATAATATCTGTGCATTTATCAAGTTGCAATGAAAATTATTTGCTAGTGTCCCGTGACATTCTTTCATGTTATAAACCAGTTCTTGTATACATTGAGCCAAGATATTATTGAAAAGTTACTTTAACTACCTTCTCTGATTCATATTCTGTCAAAATTTCCAAGCAAACATCTTTTAGAAATTGTTATTTACTCTCAATCTATTATAAGTCTATAAATTTAATACAATTGAGGTAAAAATTCCAGTTGTCAATTTTTGAGGCTTGACAAAATACTCTTAAAGTTTATCTAGAAGAAAAAAATACTTGGAAAACACCCAATTTTGTAAAAGAATTGTGATGAAAGAGGACCTTCATTACCAGATGTAAAACATGATGAAAATAGGAATAAAGAAGTATTTTTTCGGCTTCATTGCCAACAAACACAAGGAGTTTATTATTATTATAACATACAAAACTTATACATTATACCCGTATTGTCAGCAAATGAGATTTGAAGTTTTTGTGCAGGAGCACGTTCTGATGATACTGTTGCAGTTACAGGAAAACATTCTAGAGTAGTTATCAAAATTAAGGAGCTTGTGCTAGAGTGTAAGTTCACTCATTGCATCTTTCTAGAAGTCTAACTTCAGAAAAGAGTCAGTTGAGCTAAAGAGTAGTACAAATTTTTAAAAAATTGACTTATGTAAAGACAATGTGTCATATGCAAGAATATCCTCTTTATGATGTGGTAATATTGAAAGTGATAAATTCCTGTTGTTGCGTGCTGAGGTGAAGTACTCGTGTTTATCAGGGGAAAAGTTCTGGTGAGAAAGTCTGAATTCCCGGTGTTCCTTCAAGATAAGAAGCCAGTTTGGTCTAAACTCTTTGAAGAGTTCTCAACTTTTTGAAGATATGAATTAGACTGACTTGCCTATTGGTCTGATATCTTTGGTATTTTTATGGATCATAATCCTCCCTGTAAGAAATAAATGCAACTTGGTTTTTAAAGGTAAATAATGCCAAAGGCTACCTGGCTCTCCCACAGGGACCTCAAATTCAACATTCCACAATCAAATTCATTACTTTTCCCCCAAACCTGTCCTTCCTCCTCCTTTTCTTTTTCTTTTCTTTTTTTTTTTTTTTTTGTGCTAATTGTTATCACCCTCTACCTTAATTACCTAAATCCAACACCTGAACATCAGCCTTAGCCTCTCCTTTGCTTTACTTTTATATCCAGTCCCTCTTCAAGTTAGGTTTTTAATTCCTTATCATCTCTCCTATAAGCTCCATCTAGTGGCCCTGGTTGCTTCTGCCTTGGGTAGGTCCTGATCGTCTCTACATTGGACTTCTAGCACTTCACTGAGCAGCCCATTGATCTGGTGGCTGCCAGAATACTCTTTCCAAATGCAAATATCTTCACATTAGGTTCCGACTGAAGGCCTTTTATGAGCTTTCCTTTACCCATAGGAGAAATTCTAAAGTCTTTAGAGTGGCATTCAAAGCTCTCCACAATCTGGCATTTCTCCAGCCTCAGATCTTTACACCCTCCTGGCATGCCTCACTCCAGCTATACCTGACCACTTGGAGTGCTTGGAACCCTGTTTTGCTTCATGCTTTTCACTCACATTAGAATTCTCTCCCACCATTTTTGGGGGAGGATCTATTAATAATTCTCTTTCAATATTTAGTCCAACAAACCTGCAAGCATCATGTTACCTGACTTCAAAGTATACTACAGGTCTACAGTAACCAAAACAGCATGGTACTGGTACAAAAACAGGCACATAGACTAATGGAACAGGTAAGAGAGACCAGAAATAAGGCCACACATCTGCAAACATCTTATCTTTAACAAAGCTGACAAAAACAAACAGTGGGGAAAATACTCCCTGTTCAATAAAAATGGTTCTGGGATAACTGGCTAGCCATATACAGAAGATTGAAACTGTACCCCTTTCTTACACTGTTTACAAAAATCAGCCCAATATGGATGAAAGATTTAAATGTAAAACCCAAAACTATAAAAACCCTGGAAGACAACCCAGGCAATGCAATCCTGGACATAGGATGGGCAAAGATTTCATGAAAAAGACACCAAACGCAATTGCAACAAAAGCAAAAATTGATAAGTCGCATCTAATTAAACTTGAGTTTCTGCACAGCAAAAGAAACTATCAACAGAGTAAACAGCCTGCAGAATGACAGAAAATATTTGCAAACTATGCATCTAGCAAAGGTCTAATATCCAGCATCTATAAGGAACTTAAACAAATTTAGAAGAGAAAAACAACCCTATTAAAAAGTGGGCAAAGGACATGAATAGGCACTTTTCAAAAGACATATGTGTGGCCTAGAAGCATATGAAAAGAAGCCCAATATCACTGATCATTAGAGAAATGTAAATCAAAACGACAATGAGATACCATCTCACACCAGTCAGAATGGCTACTACTAAAAAGTCAAAAACTAAAAGTTGCTGGTGAGGTTGTGGAGAATAGGGAACACTTACACACTGTTGGTGGGAGTGTGAATTAGTTCAACCATTGTGGAAAGCAATATGGTGATTCCTCAAAGAGCTAAAAGCAGAATTACCATTTGACCCAGCAATCCCATTACTGGGTACATACCCAGAGAAATATAAATCATTCTACCATAAGGACACGTGAACGTGAATGTTCACTATAGCACTATTCACAATAGCAAAGACACGGAATCAATCTCTAAATGCCCATCAGTGACAGATTAGATAAAGAAAATGTACATATACACCATGGAATACTGTGCAGCCATACGAAAGAATGAGATCATGTCTTTTGCAGGAACATGGATGGAGCTGAAGGCTATTATCCTTAGCAAACTAATGCAGGAACAGAAAACCAAATACCACATGTTCTCACTTATAAGTGGGAACTAAATGATGAGAACTCATGAACACAAAGAAGAGAACAGCAGACACTGGGGCATACTTAGGAGTAGAGGGTGGGAGGAGAACAAGGAGCAGAAAAATAACTATTGGGTACTAGGCTTAATACCTAGGTGATGAAATTATCTGTACAACAAACCCCTGCGACCTGAGTTTGCCTATACAACAAGTCTTCACATGTATCCTCGAACCTAAAATAAAAGTTTTAAAAAAAAATTAGTTCAAACTTACTACCTTTAGGTAAGAGAGGTGTTGCCTGTTCATCCACCCATTTTCCCACATAATTAACTCTTCTTCCTTGTACTCCTATTGTGGATCCCTTACTTTCTACTACAACACTCACAAAAATACAACCATTTGTTTACTTGCTTCCCTAATAGACTGGAAGTTCCTTATGTCAGGGACCTTGTCTTTTATTGCCAGTGTCTAGCAATGCCACTACTATTTAGGAGCTCTGTAATTTTTTTTTGAATGAATAAACAAGGGAGAGGGTTCAGAGGCATGATGGAAAGGGTTTGCAGAGAATGCAATAGTGTTAAAGCTGGTCAGGAGGAAGACACATGGGGCAATATGGTGATGAGAGATGGGAAAGACTAGTTTACTGTGGGGGACTTGTCTGTGTATGATGGTTAAGAGTCATGGGAATAACTAGTTTTAAATTTCTGACTAGAACTCTGGTATAAGGTTATTCTGTTGCTGCAGAAGTACAGGTACTACCTGAAGTCAAATGAAGTTTACTGGATGTCATTCAATTTGCAAGTATTAGCGTGCACACACACACACACACAATTTTTATACTAGCAACACTGCATTTGTCTAGTGCTTTACATTACCCAAAGTTCTTTTATTTCCATTATCTTATTTGACCCTTAAAACAGTTATCTCCCTCAGCTTCAGTTTCCTTATTCTTCGGATTGTTTGCAAGATGTGTTATATATCTGATACACAGTTAAATACCAAATACGTTATCATTACATCAGGAATTTGAGGCTCATAATAGTTAAATGACTTGCTCAAGGTCAGAAAAGTAAGTGGCAGATTTAGACATAAAGTCTAGATTATTTTTACTGCACTAGAGTACAATGAGATACTATCTTCTACATTACTTGAGGTGCAACATCTTTAATTTCCTTGAGAGACTTACCCCAAAGCAGGCTTTGGGATGACTCTATCAGAGCTGATTATCAAATGTAAGCAAAATCTACCTCCTGGATAAACCAAAATGCAAATATAAATAATATTTTTTATAGCTTGTATTGCTTCCTAATCTCCATCTTTTACACTTAAGGGTTTTCAGCAGAGAATCTGAGCAGGATAGCTTCTTGTCCTTGTGAAGTTTTGTGGAGATTTTAGTTGCTCTTTAAAATATTGCTTTTGAGTCCAGTTTTATGGTAGAGCAAGTATCAGTTTGGGGTTTTCGGCCCTAGAATTAAGGTACCAGACATCTGAAGTGAGTACTGGAACACAAAGACAATAACTGTGCTCTGTAGACACCGACAATCACACTCATATGTCTGTGGTTTTTTACAGAGTTCTGCTGAGGAAGAATCTGAAGCCATAAAATGTGAACTAGAGATGAAAGTATTAAGTGAAACTGTTTCAGCAGGTATTCTAAATTACATTTTAAGAATTTAACTTTATTGAGGTTTTCTTCTTACAGAAGAAATACAGGATCATGGTTTAAAATATTCAGACATTGCAAAAATATATTTAAAGTGAAAATTCTTCATAGTCCCTTTTCTAATAGTGTTAACAGATTTCTTTGCTCAATTTATCCCTGTCTCTCTTAATTTCTGATAAAACTATGGGATTATATTATACAAATGTTTTTGTTGAGAATACTTTTCTCCCACCTAACAATAAGTTACATACATAGAACTCAATATATATTTCATATAAATGAATATTAAACATTATTCTAAGAATACATTGGTAACCTCACTTTTTAAAGCAGTTGTATAATTCCATCCAATAATGGAACACTATTTAAATCCCTATTGATAGGTTGTTTCTAATTTTGTATTATTACAATGTTGTAATGAACTTTCTCAAGTGCACATACACAACTGAAAGTCTCTCAACACTTCTGGGTATTCACAAGTGTTTGCATTCAGTCTAGTCCTGGCAAATAGCAGTTGGATATAGTTTAGAAATGTCAAGGAAACGTGATTTAGAAATGTGATGTCTAATTTGTCAGTCTTTTAGTTTGAGATTTATATACATCTTTTCTGTTAACTTTATGTTTCTTTCCCAATAACTTCTAGGAATCTATTTTCTATATATTTCTTAGCATATTTTTTCATAACAGGCCTTTTCTCCTTCACTTTTTCTTTCTTCTACTTCTTTTTTTTTTTTTTTTTTGAGATGAGAACTTGCTCTGTTGCCCAGTAGTGGTGCGGATTATGGCTCACTGCAGCCTCAACTGCCCAGGCTCCAGTAATTCTCCCACCTCAGCCTGCTGAGTAGCTGGGACACACAGGCACGCACCACCAGGCTAGCTAATTTTTAAATTATTTGTTGAGATGGGGTCTTGCTTTGTTGCCCAGGCTCATCTTAAACTCCTAGTCTCAAGTGATTCTCCCACCTCAGCCTCGCAAAGTACTGGGCATGAACCACTGCCCCAGCCTGTTTTCGTTTTAATAACAACACATGCTTATTGTATGGTTTTGTAGATGAAATAAAAACTGTGTCCTCTCCTATGCCCCACCATTACCCATGCCTATTTCCACTTCCAAGGTCAGCTCTATGAATCATTTTGAGTTAACCACTTTTTGAAAAGTCTTAGTAGCTAGTTGAATAGAAACATCCTTTACCAGTATTATAATTTTAAAATTTCTTTCCTAAGAGCATACTAAACTGTCATCTATTTGAAACCTGTTAATCTGATTAATTTTAGCACAGTTGTTGCTGGTAGAGAATTCTTCTGAAAAGCCAGATTTCTTTGAAAACGATATGGTGGATTTATTCCAGTTCACCACTCTGGGTGGAGTATACCACTTGGATATTTTGGAGCTTCCTCCACAGTGTAAACCAGTGAAGGGATGGATGATTGTGGAAGTAGGTTGATGCTTGAATCAAAACTTATAAGTAAAATAATTGCTCATGCTTTTACTTTATTGCATATTATCTAACATCTAATAAGTTTTAACCCTATTAAACAAACACAAATGAAAAAATGTAATTTTAAACTGTCTTAAATGTATTGGTATTGAAAATTAGATACTAAAAGAATGTAAAATAATATGAAGTTTATACTAGAATTCATATATGCTAACCTCATTGTAAATTTACATCATCATGTTTTGTTAGTGCCAATTTTGTCTTAATATTCTAGATCAGAGGTTGGCAAACTTTAACAGGCCAGCTGGTAAATATTTTCACCTTTGCGGTCCCTACCAGCTCTGATGCAACTACTCAACTCAGCCATTGCAGCACTAAAACTGCTGTGTATAAACCAATGGGCACAGCTATGTTCCAATAAAACTTTATTTACAAAAATCGGTGGTGAGTGGGATTTCCCAGGGACGGTAGTTTGCGGACTCTAGTCTAAATCAGTGGTTGTCAATATGTGTTCCCTCGAGCAGAGGCATCAGCATCCTCTGGCATCATCTGGGAATTTGCTAGAAATGCAAATTAATGAGCCCCACCACAAACTTACTAAATCAGAAACCCTGGAGGTAAGGCTCAACAATCTGTTTTGGAAAAACACACCCTGAAGTTTGAAAATCACCAGTCTGAATCCTTGATATACAAAATATGGTCCTAAATCAACAGCATTGAACCCAGCAGCATTAGTGTCAGCTGGGAACATGCAAGAAATGCGTAATGTTGGGCTGCACCTCAGAGCTACTGAATCTGCAGTTGAACAAGATCCCCAGGTAATTCCTATGCACATTGAAATTTGAAAATCAGTCCACGTGATGCCAATGCTGCTGATGCACTGACCACACTTTGGTGATAACGGTTGTTAGATCATCTTTCAAGGAGTTTCTCGCCCCTGTTTTATAAGTAGTAACACTTGTGCTATTATTGACTTGGTTTATTTTTAACTTAACCTCATGGTGGCTTGCTTCCCATAGAATGCTACCATATATACCCAGTTATGTTGTCATGGGCTGCCCCTTCCTTCCTCTCTCTCTTTCTCCCCCTCTTCCTGTCTCTCTCTCTCTTTTCCTCTCACCCTCTCTCCCCTAACACAACCTGTACACAGATTGCTGGGTACTTCTCACCCACAATCCTATCCATTAAGGACCTTGGTGCATTCTTGTATTTGAGAAGTATTTCCCAACCTTTTTTCCCCCCTGTTATTGCCCTAATCACCTCCCACTCCAACAAAACTTTAATATTCTCTTTATCCATAAGGTCCCGGGGTCTTCAAGAATCCATCTAAAGATCTCTTGTTGTTGACTTTTGTCACAGTGTCCTGAGACCACTTCATGCTCTCCCCTTGAACCCAAGGAATCCTCCTTCATAGCTGTTTTTCTCTCCTGCAACAAAGAGGCTTTCCTCATTTTCAAGGCTTTTTCAATAACTTTCCACCTCTTCTAGAATCTTGCCCTAATTTTTCTTCTATTTTCTAATATTTTTAAATCTTTCTTCCTTCCCTAGATCCTTGTCTGCTGCATTCAGATAATGCACAAATCTTCCTTATCCCAGAAACATCTGCTGTCTGGTTAATTCACTTGCATTCATTCATTTCCATTCTTCTCAAAAGGTCGTCTATGTTTCTGTCTCTTTACCTGCACACCCTTAGCATGGTATTAGAGCATGTGATTTAGGGTCCCATGCACCTGGTTTTGAGTTCTGGTGCCCCTTTGAAGTCATTTTGTAATCTTTGTCAAATTACTTGATTTTTCCAAGTCTTGGTTATCATCTCTGTTAAATATAGGCCTTTAGGATTGCTTAGAGGAATATAATGATGAGGAAGCCCCACCACACAATCTGGCCCATAGGAAGTTCTGTACATTCATCTTTAGTAACTTTTTTTCTCAATCATTTATCTTTTAAATTTTGTTGTGACATTTTGTTAATCTATGTATAAATGGGATCAAACTGCAGTGCTTATTAAAAATAACTATATAGCTTATTCAGTACTATTTACATTTTTCACTGTTACCAATCAACTAACTTGATGTTGTTTTGGTCATTTTTAAAAGATACTCAAAGAAGGATTACAGAAATACACATATCCTCCAGAAACTACAGAAGACTTTGAGACAGAAAATGCTTTCCCACCTATAGAGGTCACTCTTGAGGTTCATGAGAATGTCATCTTTTTTGAGAATCCTATGGTTGTAAGGTGGGATGCTGAAGGTACAGCTTTTATAATTATGTAATAAAAAGAGGGATAATAATAAAAACCTTAAATTGAAACAGGAAGTGTAGTGTATTAACTGAGCTTATTATTTTACATATTTTTTTGCCAATTCTAGGGTCTCGTTTTGTTCTTAATGGAAATGAATAGGGGTTGGAGCTTAGAATTTGCTGAGTGTTGTAAATATTAACTCCTAAAGTATCTATATCTGCCATTGTCTATGAACAATTACTTTATGGTTATACCGTTATGTTTCTAAAAAAAAGAGTTAAAGGCTGGGCACGGTGGCTCACGCCTGTAAATCCCAGGACTTTGGGAGGTCGAGGCAGGCAGATCACCTGAGCTCAGGAATTCAAGACCAGTCTGGGCAACATGGTGAAACCCCGCCTCTCTACTAAAACATTACAAAAATTAACCGGGCATGGTGGTGTGCACCTGTAATCCCAGCTACTTGCGAGTCTGAGGCATGAGAATCGCCTGAACCTGGGAGGTGGAGGTTGCCATGAACTGCCATGGTGCCACCGCACTCCATCCTGGGCGACAGAGTGAGACTGTCTGTCTCAAAAAAACAAACAGGCCAGGCGTGGTGGTTCATGCCTGCAATCTCAGCACTTTGGGAGGCCGAGGCGGGTGGATCATCTGAGGTCAGGAGTTTGACATTAGCCTGGCCAACATGGTGAAATCTCGTCTCTACTAAAAATAGAAAATAAGCAGGGCATGGTGGCACACACCTGTAATCCCAGCTACTCCGCAGGCTGAGGCGGACAATAGCTTGATCTCGGGAGGCGGAGGTTGCAGTGAGCCAAGATGACGCCACTGCACACCAGTCTGGGCCACAGAGCAAGACTTGTCTCAAAACAAAACAAACAGGCAAAAATGAGTGAAAATATTAAAATCAGGCCAGGCACTGTTGCTCACGCCTGTAATCCCAGCACTTTGGGGGTGCCGAGGCAGGCGTATCACCTGAGGTCAAGAGTTCAAGACCAGCCTGGCCAACATAGTGAAACCCCATCTCTACTAAAAATACAAAAATTAATGGGGCATGGTGGCGCATGCCTGTAGTCCCAGCTACTTGGGAGGCTGAGGCAGGAGAATTGCTTGAGCCTGGGAGGTGGAGGTTGCATTGAGCCAAGATTGCACCATTGCACTCCAGCGACAGAGCGAGACTCCCTCCATCTCAAAAAAAAAAAGAGAAAAAAAAAAGAAAAAAAGTAGTTTAGCAAATCAAAAACAGATAAAAAGTCTACTCTTCTGGAATAACCAAATAGTTCAGATTTGGATAATTAATATTTGATTAATGTTATTTATAAATTGTACACAAGTATTGGGGATGAGGAATGGGCAAATGGGAAACTTGAGAAAAGGAAAACTAGCCACTTTTGTATACCTTTTTATACCTTTTATTTTTGAGCCGTGGGACATTATTGCTTATTCAAAACTTAAATATTAATAAAATTGTAAGTATCTACAGTGATGTAAGCTAATGATTTGTTAATCTTTAACAAATACCTCCTTTGGAGTAGGCTTGCTGAATTTTGAGAGATCTTGGTCTGGTGAGTTAATATATGCCATTTTAAGGATCCTGGATGAGAGTGCACCTTTGTTTTTAAGGTTTTTCTATATTCATCTGTTGGTGAAGGGATTTATATACTTGGTGATAGGCTGGGAACAAATATCACTAAGGCATAGAGCTTTTATATAATCTACTTATTTAGTTATGGAAAATTTAGGAACAGATTATTTAGGAATTTATACCAGGAAGTTTAAATATTTTGTTTTTAAAATTTTTTAATGAATGCCCTGGTGCTCTACATTTTTGTCTATATAGACAGACATACAAGATGTATTATTTATATTCTAGAAGTAGTCTATGTATTAAAAACAGTAGGCCAGTCGCAGTGGCTCACACCTGTAATCCCAGCACTTTGGGAGGCTGAGGTGCGTGGATTACTTGAGCTCAGGAGTTCAAGACCAGCCTGGGCAACATGGAGAAACCCCATCTCCACCAAAAGTACAAATATTAGCTAGGCATGGGGGCATGTGCCTGTAGTCCCAGCTATCCCAGAGGCTGAGATGGGAGCATTGTTTGAGCCCAGGAGGTTGAGGCTGCAGTGAGCTGTGATCGTGCCCCAGCACTCCGCGGGTGACAGAGTGAGACCCTGTCTCAAAAAACAAAAAATAAGTTAAAAAACCTAGTAAATTCTTACATATTAAACTATAAAATACATCAACATGAACAACTTTATCTCTTTTGATATTGTTTCACAGATGTCACTTTAATGATAATATTCCTAAGTATTTATCACATTAAAAATTATTAACATGGCTGGGTGTGGTAGCTCACACCCAAAGTAATCCCAGCACTTTCGGAGGCCGATGCGGGCAGATCACCTGAGGTCAGGAGTTCGAGAGCAACCTGGCCAACATGACGAAAGCCTGTCTCTACTAAAAAAAAGCCAGGCGTGGTGTCACGTGCCTGTAATCCTAGCTATTCAGGAAGCTGAGGCAGGAGAATTGCTTGAACCTGGGAGGCGGAGGTTGTAGTGAGCTAAGATCGCACCATTGCACTCAAGCCTGGGTGACAAGAGTGAAACTCCGTCTGAAAAAAAATTATTCACATGAAATTAGAATTAGACAAGGTAAATTATTCCACACAATTCAGGGAAATAAACTTGTGCAGAATTTCACTCTACAACTTCAGCAATTAGACAGCGGTAATTTACAACTCTAGTAATTTTTAAACCATGGGGAAACATTTTGCCCGGAAATACTAGAAATTTGGAGAATTTATTTATAGGTAATAACTTTTTACCTTATAAATTAAAATTATTTGGTAATGTAGAGACAAAAAGAGGAATTCAAAATAATTCTGTGAATGTAATTGTATTTATTATATGAAATCTAAGAGTAAAAACTAGTCAACAGAACCCTCCAATTGAGAACAGGAAAGAGAGCTAAGTAGAAATGGAGAGCACATACAGGAAGAAAATAGTTCATTTATTTGTCCTATAAAGATGACCCCTCTCCCACCCAAAAAAAAAGAAAGAAAGAAATACAGAGATAAATGAGGCATAGTTTCTTCCTCTTGGAGTTTCAAAGTTGTAGGAGAGGCAGACGGGAAAACACCATATTGTAATACAACGTAGTAGGGTGCTAGCATAGATGTAAAGCGCTGTAGAGCACGACAGAGATGGCTCAATCTTTAGAGTATTGGAAGGCTTCTCACAGGATGGAATGTTGAACAGGGCCCTCAAAGATGAAGAGAATGTTTGCATGCAAGTCTCTGTGTGGGCATGTTTTCAGTTCAGTATGTACCTAAGAGTGGAATTGCTGGATTGAGTACTGAGTTTATATTTAACTTTCAAAGAAACTGCCAAATTGTTTTTCCAAGTAGCTGTACCATTTTACATGTCTGCCAGCAGTATATGAGGTTTTCTGTTTGTTCACAACATTTGTTATCTTTTTGATTATAGCCATTCTAGTGGGTGTGAAGTAGTATCCCACTGTGGTTTTATTTCCCTAATTACTAATAATGTTGATCATCTTTTTAAGTACTTATTAGCCTTTCATATCTCTTCTTTGGTGAAATGTTTATGCAGATCATTTACCCACCTTTAAATTAGGTTGTGTTTTTTTATTGAGTTGTAAGAGATACAAAAGACCACCTACAGGAAGTACGTTAATCGTTGCCTGGGGCTGGAGGTGGGAATGGGAATTAACTGTAAATGGACATAAGGATCTTACTGAGGGGATAAAAATGTTCTAAAACTGGATTGTGGTGATGATTGCACAACTGGGTAAATTTACTAAAGATAATTGAAGTGTATACATAAAACACATGAATTTTGAAGTCATTTTAAAGCAAAGATGATGAGAATTTCCTGAAAGATTAGGGAAGAGTATTGTAGGAGGAAAGAACTATATGTGCAGAGGCCCAGAGATATACATACAGTGTTGTTAAGGAAATAAAAAAAGTGGGGCTGAACAGAGAAAAACTTTTTCCCTTGAGGAGTGGCAAGGGATGGAGCCAATAAAGTGAGTCAAGGCGTCATTCTGAAGGTCTTACCATGCTGAGGAGGTGGGACTTGATCCTGTAGGCAGGGGAATGTCTCAGCAAAGCTGGCCTTCTTTTGAGTGTCTGTTCTAAATATGAACAATCAATTTATACACAAAGCATTTTTTTTGGTGGTTTCATTTATCTTCTTTTTTTAAATAGGGAAAAATTGAAACTGGTGTCACTTTCTTCATTAATTATAAAGGTAAACATTGGAGAACTGATGGCATCAGCAATGTATCCTACAAACCAAACGAAAGACTTATAACATTCAGCCTGGACACCTTTGGCCCTGTTACCTTGATTCAAGATGCTCATATTAACATGCCGTACCAGTCATGGGAACTAAGACCACTTGATGTAAATAAAGTACTTTTAACTGTGACTACAGTATTTACTGAGATTCAGATACAAATTAAGGTGAGTTACTATTATAGTTGTTATATACTGTCATATCAAAGGTAAACCATTTTAATGGAATACTAGTTTGTCAAAAGCAATCAATGGCTGCTGATTTATATATTGAAATATGTGTCTTATAATCATTTATATAATGAAATATGTGACTTATTGAAATATGTGTCTTATAATTTATACATTGAAATGTATCTTCAATTTATATATTGAAATATGTGTCTTCTAGCATCTAGCGTAGTCCTAGAATATAGTAGATATTTAGTAAACATTTATGATATATGAAGACACAAAGTAACTTCTAATCATGAAAAAATGTACCTTGAGCTATATTTCTAAATGAAATATTAGTAGAATAATTAAATAGGCAATAAACATGTAAATAGCAAGGCTCAAACTTAAATTTGTACCTTAAAGTTACTAGGGATAGATCAACTGATGAACCAACAACCCTGGTTGCAGTATGAATTTCAGAGTTTTTTGATCCACCCTAAAGGGGCTACCTGATCTTTATCATCCAGCCATTTGAAATCCTTTTTGAGATTGGTTTCTCTCTCAATGATCCCCTATTGCTCATCGGTCAGAAATTATGTAGCCTGAGCTGGGGGCGGTGGCTTACACCTGTAATCCCCACACTTTGGGAGGCCAAGGTAGGTGATCACCTGAGGTCAGCAGTTCGAGACCAGCCTGGCCAACATGGTGAAGCCCTGTCTGTACTAAAAATACAAAAATTATCCAGGCATGGTGGCATGCACCTGTGATGCCATCTACTCGGGAGGCTCAGGCAGGAGAATTGCTTGAACCTGGGAGGCGGAGGTTGCTGTGAGCTGAGATCGCACCGCTGCACTCCAGCCTGGGCAACAGAGTGAAACTCTGTCTCAAAAAAAAAGAAAGAGAGAGAGAGAGAAAGAAAAAAAAAAAGGAAAGAGAAAGAAAGAAAGAAAAGAGAAAAGGAAGGAAGGTAGGAAGGAAGGACAAGGAAGGAAGGAAGAAAAGAAGAGAGAGAAAGAAAGAGAAAAAGAAAGAAAGAAAAAAGAAAGAAAAGAAAAAAGAAAAGAAATTACATAGCCTGAAATGTATGGAGACAAAAGTAGATTAGCCATTGCCTGGGGCTGAGGGTGGGTGGGGATTAACTGTAAATGAGCATGAGGGATCTTATTGGGAGGGATGAAAATGATCTAAAATGGATTTATGGTGATAGTTGTACCACTCTGTAAAGTTACTAAAAATCATTGAATTATAACTTGAAATAGGTGAATTTTATGATATGTAAAATATATCTTAATAAGTTGTTTTTAAAAACAGAGATAACCTAGAATTCATTATGAATACAGAAAGCCTAGAATATTATTAAACTTTGCTTTTAAAACTAGATGAGGGCTGGGTGCGGTGGCTCATGCCTGTAATCCCAGCACTTTGGGAGGCTGAAGTGGGTGGATCATGAGGTCAGGAGTTCGAGACCAGCCTGGCCAATATGGTGAAACCCCATCTCTACTAATAATACAAAAATTAGCTTGGCATGTTGGCACGCGCCTGTAGTCCCAGCTACTCGGGAGGCTGAGGCAGAAGAATCACTTGAACCCGGGAGGCGGAGGTTGCAGTGAGCCAAGATTGTGCCACTGCACTCCAGCCTGGGTGACAAAGCAAGACTCCGTCTCAGAAACAACAACAACAACAGCAACAACAAAAAACTAGATGAGATGGGAGATGGAATGCCTTAGAATCATTAGTGTGCAAGTGCCCTTAAAATGCTTCTGGTCTACCCTCCTGTTGTATATATAGAGAAACTAAGGCCCATAGAGATTAGGGGTTACATGACCTTTCTGAGATTGTGTAAGGGGATTGTATTGCTGGAGCCTCCTTTCAGGCTTCCCTGCACCATTCCAGCAGCCCTGACGACACTTGTGCAAAGGTTCTTCCTCTAGACTCATGGAAAAATAACAAGCATCTTCACAAAGTTCACTTATTAATATGATGATCGAAACACCCAGACTGCTCAGTGTGCGTTTTCAGGTTAGTAGATCTGTGCTGTCTAATGTGGTAGCAACCAGCCATATGTAGCTACTGCATGTGACTAGTTCAAGTTAGCACATGCTCTAACTGTAAAATAAACACAAATTTTGCACACTTGGTATGAAGAAAAGAATGCAAACTCTCATTAATAACTTCTATACTGATTACATTTTGAAATATTTTAGATATAGTGGGTTAAATGAAATATATTATTAACATTAAAAAAATGAGATGTGAATTCTACACACCTTCAAACTGTCACTTTGCGAGACTTTAAAACTGGATAATATTGCCTGATTATGTTAACTTTTATGAGTGTGAAAAGAATGATCCCTAAAAGTAGAATCATAATTGTTACCTAATAACTGTTTTAATTCAATGTGAACATGTGCATATTCTTATAACTTATAAAATAGGAGGCTTGAGAGATGCTGTAGCCCATTCCTTTGATTGTTCTGATGAAGCCCAAAGAGTTGGTCAACTGCTTAAGGTAACATGGGGACTTTGTGTCAGAGCATTCAGATGAGGCCTAAGATATACTTGCCCTGCATTCTTTCTAGTATAGAGGGATAGATGATTTTTAAAAATGTATAAAGCATCTAAAGGCTGCACCTGGAGTGATACTGAAGTAATGGTTTCTTTAACCTACATAAAACCTTCTTTTTTCTTAAACTAGGAAAACCTCTGCATGTTATCTTCAGTCAAACTGAAAGACAAGAAACACATCTCTATTTTGGAAGGAACATGGATGACTCCTATTCCTTTCATTATTGCTTTGAAAGAAGCTGGACTGAATATTTTTCCTACTAGATACTCTCATTTTTATGTTGTTATAAACAATAAGGCAAGAATGAATCTTTCCAAATTTAATGTGGTAGGCATTTAAAATGTTAGCAATTACTAAATGTTATATAATTTAATATTATATACACTGTGTTTTATATGTTCATTTATACAGTATTATAGTTAGAAATAAGTGAAAAGACCAGAAATCCAGGGTTCTCTCAAGTTTAATAATTTTCCCTAAGTAAGCCTGTAGTACGATCTTCATATTGACAAATGGAGCATATCCACAGATGGTCAGTTTAATGAAAAGGTAGTTTAAGCAATTCTCATTTTGTATACTTTGTTTTTGCATTACTGGATATTATATAAGATTTCTTAAAATAGTAAATAACTCTGCACTTTCCCAAACATGGTAAGTTAGGCAGAATTAAGAATACAAGGACCACTAATGTACAAAACCCACTTCCTTTGGTTTCTTGGCAGAGCCTCCTTGTCTATGTACTGTTTCATGTTCCTCATAAGGCTTTAGTTCAGTAAGATCCTTCCAGGTTAAACTGTGAGCTTCTTGAGGATGGGGGTCATTTCTTAATCAACGTTGATTCTTCTAGCATCTAGCATAGTCCTAGAGTATAGTAGATACTTAGTAAACATTTATGATATATGAAGACACAAAGTAACTTCTAATCATGAAAAGTGAATTTGTAGGCAGAAGAGTTCTATACTCAAGAACATTTATGAATGTATCAGAAAATGACAATATAAGTAGATATTCATATAACATTTAGAAATAATAAGTGTATGTACATATATGCATAGGAAAAAAAAACCTTGGTTTTAGTAACTCAAATTGCCTGTTACCCTGTAATGTTGAATGTAGTGTTCTGTTCATGCTTTCAGAATATTCTACTCAAGGAAATACTATTTTCTGAACACTATGTGCTAGGCACTATTTTAGATGATTAGGATACATCAATGAATGAAACAAAGGTCCTTACCTTTGTTTTCCTTCCCAGTCAAAGGAAAAAATTTTTAAATAAATGATTAGTATGTTAAAAAGGTGAAAAGTGCTATGGGAAAAAGAAAAGATAGATCAGGAATAGTGAGGCTGAGGCCGTATGACACCCATATTAAATAGGGTGTCAGGGAGGGCAGCTCAATGAGAGATAACACTTGAGCGAAACTCAAAGGTGGGGACTTTAGCCACGTGCCTCATCTGGGGAAGCAGCTTCCTGGTAAACAACTGGAGCAAGATCCCTGAGGGAGTGGCCTGGGGTGCTGGAGGATTGGAGGAACACCAGGGAAACCATGGAGTCTGGAACTGAGAGAGCAAAGGGAGAAGAAAAAGAGGTCAGCAGGTAATGGGATATACATGGAGTCGGGAGTAGGGATGTCAGAGGGCCGTGCAAGTCATTGTTAACTTTGGACTCTATTCTCAGAGAAAGGAAAGCCGTTGCCCAGTGTTGAGAGAGGAGTCATGTACTCTGATTTACAATTTCAAGTGGATCCTTCTGTGTTGAGAATAGACTGAAGGAGGCCAAAGATGGAGGAAGACTTGTAGGGAGGCTCAAAGATCAATTCTATTTGTTTTTACATTGACAGGTTCCTCTGGTAGAAGTGAAAGCTTATCGACAGATGGCCCTACTAAGTTCCACTTTTGCGTTTGGTTGGAGCAAGTGGAACCTACTATGTAATTCTACGAAAGTTGTATTTAAGGTATAATATGTAGAAACCCATAAAACTACTTTGTCCTCCAAAAGAAGATAAAGTACTCTAAGACTAAATGAATGCAGACCATGGCTTCCCCTCTTAGAAAAGTAAAAAAAAATTATTCAATATGAAGTTTTAAAATTTCAAATTTTTGGCCAAGCGCGGTGGCTTACACCTGTAATCCCAGCACTATGGGAGGCTGAGGCGGGCGGATCATCTGAGGTCAGGAGTTCAAGACCAGCCTGACCAACATGGTGAAACCCCATTTCTACCAAAAATACAAAATTAGCCAGATGTGGTGGCACATGCCTGTAATCCCAGCTACTCAGGAGGCTGAGGCAGGAGAATCACTTGAACCTGAGAGGTGGAGGTTGTGGTGAACCGAGATTGTGCCATTGCACTCCAGCCTGGGTAACAAGAGCAAAACTCCATCTCCAAAAAAAAAAAAATTTTCATCAAAAATATAAATCCAAATTATATAAAATTTATGCCTTTGTTGTCCAAGCTCTTGACTTCAAGCCAGGCCAGAGTCCTTGTATCTCTTTACAAATTGACTCAAGAACAAATGGAAGCCTTGCCGGGTGCAGTGGCTCACACCTGTAATCCCAGCCACTTGGGAGGCTGAGGTAGAAGGATCGCTTGAGCCCAGGAATTTGAGGCTGAAGTGAGCTATGATCACACCACTGCACCCCAGCCTGAACAACAGAGTGAGACCCCCATCTCTTTGAAAAAAGAACAAATGGAAGCTTTTAACATGAATATATCTGTGACTTACAGGCCCTCTCCTCTGAGAGGGTTAGTCCTCCAACTTAACTTCCTGATGCCTTGTTATCAGGTAGCAGTAACTATATCAAATTCTAAAAGCTGACTGATGAATGTTTTGGCCTAAACAGGCCACCATATTTATTTCTGTTTTTTATTGTGTGTTTCCCCCCGACTCAAATATAAGCTCCTTGAGGGCAGGGCTTTGTTGTTGCAGTTGTTATTTATATATGTTGTATGTCTATATGTTTTCTGTGTTTTCTTTCCCTGTTATATCCCCAGCACTTAGAACAGTACCTCACACATGATAGGCACTCAATAAATATTTGGTGCATGAATTAATACATGTGGATAGGCTCCATAATCACCAAAATATAAACAGTGTCATGGTTTTTCAAAACCCAGTAATGGAACATATAGACTGTTTCCTTTAACCTTTGCAATTTTAGGGGATAAATTGAGCCCTTTAAATAATAATCTGCTATCAAAATACTGAATAGAAGAGAAATTATTAACAAGTTGCTTGAATTTCCTTTATTTTTTTATTTTTAGGTGAGGGAACACCTTCCTGAAGAATGTACTGAGAATCCTAATTGGGCCCTTTTAATGTTTAGTGGTGACAGAGCACAAAGACTCAAGATCAAGGAAGAGAGTGAGGCATTTTCTGAAGCACTTAAAGAAGAAACTGAGTTTCATTCTACTTTATATCACATGGTGAGGGATTTTGCTTCTAAAGAAGCAATGGAGAAAGTCAGGAGTTCCAACTGTCAGTTTGTCAACTCTGTGTGCCACATGCTGCTCTCTACCAGATTGCTCAGCTACTCCTAACCTCCACTTACAAACTGTATTCAGTATGAAGAACCAAGCATGGTGAAGACAGGTATTTCTGCAACAGAATGTAATGAGTGAATGAATACATTTCACATCAACTATTAAAATTTTGTAATCAGCATTTTCTACTCAAGTTTTATTTTAAACACAGTATGGCTTTTTTTCCTTTGAATACTTGGCCTGTTAAGAATTTCAACTTTCACTCTATGAAGATTTAAATGATTCTTTATTTCAATAAACTTTAACAAACAATATATAATAAAAGCTCATTCAAAGATCATAGGCAGACTTCTTCCCTGTTGTATTTTAGTTGGGGAGATAAAGGCAAAAAGAGGAAATGTAAGCTATCTTACAGTCATTCTGAGAACCTCTGGTTTCATGCTATACTTTCCCAGCTAAAAGTTACTAATTTACGAAGTTCAGATACTGAAACTTAAAAATCAAGATCCATATATTAGGATGTCCTGCTGTCACACTGGTGGTGGCCCATTGTGTCGGAGTCTGGTAAATGGCCACAAGATATGTTCTAGAGACGTCCATGAGTCCTCTTGCTGTGTGGGAGCAGCATCCACAGACTTCTGGAAAAATCGGCCTGTGAGGAAGCTCATCAAAGCTGCAAACAGTACAATGAATGCAATAGAAAGCCAGAGGGCCTTATTAGCCTTTCTGATGGAGGACTTGAGATTTGTTGCCCAGGAAGCTATTGTGTCATAACTATAAGGAAAACACAAACAGAATTTGATAATTGGTAATTTGTCATTAGAAACATTCCTTTTGCTAACACCACCAATCAGGTGATCTGTCCTCCATACCCACAGAACTGCCTTTTAATCTGCATATTATGATTTATCATTTTAGTTTTGGAAACAATTTGCCTCCCACCCTTTGTAACTATTAGGATTAAAGAAATGATGTGCTATGATGAGAATCTGAAAATTACGTGATGTGGGCATATCTTCTAACAAGTACATACAAGTATCTCATTCTTTCAGTAAGGTAAGGCAACATACTCCTACAGTGGAAACAAAATGTTCTTTGCTGGGTAGAGTGGATGTCTGTGTATGTACTTATGTGTGTGTACAGCAGTCCCCCTTTGTTCTTGTGGGATAGGCTCCAAGACTGCCAATGGATGCCTGAAGCCGAAAATAGTACTAAACCCAGCATATACTGTTTTTTCCTATGGATACATGCCTATAATAAAATTGAATTTATAAATTAAGCACAGTAAAAGATGAACAATAACATAAAATAGAATAATTTATAACAATATATTACAGTAGAAGTTATGTGAATGTAGTCTCTCTCTCAAAATAGGTAACATAGGTTCAAGGATAACTAGACATACAAAGTTTGTTGTTCGTCTGAAATATAACAATTTGGTAAGTCTCTTAGTAATTTGGTTGAGATGAATACTGTCAGCCCTGCCTCACCCTTTCCCATTCCACTGAAATGGTAGAATTTATCAAGTAGATAGCTTACACTGAAGAGAGATCCCACTTGGATGGATTAGTTTTCTTTTCAGAAAGACTTGGCTTCCTTGTCCTTTCTACTATTTCTTCTCCAGGTGGCTCTGAGTCATCTTTAGTTCTGTAAATAAATGTTGTTTTTAATATTTGAAACTAAGGATAATATGCTATAATTATTCATAAAATATTGGTAAATCTTACTGTAACTCAAGAGACAAACAAATGTTCTGTTTTAGGGAAACTTGATAAATATCTAACTCTAAAAATCAAATCACCAGATTTATAACGTAAACCTTTTATAGAAATTTAATTAAAAATAAGTTCCTCTATTTAGAAAAATAATAAATGTGTAGAAAGTTAGAATATTAGCCAAGTATATACAAAAAGGGGAAATTTAAAAAGAACATTCTGAAGTTAGTCTCACCACTCATCATTAACCAATGTTATTACTATGATTTCTTTGTCTGCATGCATATATATATGCGCATGTTTAACCATACTTTATTAAACACTTTAATCTCAGCACTTTGGGAGGCCAAGGAAGGGGACTCCTCCCAAGGATCTCAGGATTCCAGGGATTGCTTGAGCCCTGGAGTTGGAGGCTGTAGTGAGCTATGGTTGCACCACTGCACCCCAGCCTAGGCAACAGAGTCAGACTCTTATCTCTTAAAAAATATATATATATATTCTATATACACATTTATAGATTACACATTTATATTGTACATTATGCATATATTTATATAATACATATTTATACTCATTTTTATATACTACATAACACATTTTTTATATGTGTGCATATATTATATATAAATATATGTATAATATATATTTTTTTAAGAGAGAGTGACTGTTGCTATACTGGAGTACAGTATATATAAATATATACTATATATAGACATATTTATATATAATATATACATACACATTTACATATATAATATGTACACATATTAATATATACTATTCAAAGCTTATAATATAGAATATGTATATATTATATGTGTATATGTAGTATATATTATGTATAAAAATATGTATATATTATATATGTATAATATTCATAGGTATATATATATATTTTATATATGGTTATGTACATACACCTGTGTGTGTGTGCGTGTGTGTATGTGTATATATAAAACAAATGTGGACACCATATTTCTTCCTTTTAAATTTGATTGTATTTAACATTAGTAAAAATCTTTTCTCATTATTATTGAATGTATTCCTTTCTCTGTATGATTTCCAGTCAGTGCTAACTTGGAGTAACATCAGAGTTTATTTTTTTCTCTGAAAATCTTAATAATTTAAAAAGTGTTTTTGAAAATATTCTCAATGTAAAACGAGTTAAAATAAAAGGTTAGTTAAAATAAATTAGTATTCAGTGAACTGGGAAATAGCAATTGATTGACTGCATTTTAAATCAAATCATATTAAGAGGTGTTCCTCCACCTAAGCAAAACATAATTGTTCCACTATATTTGCTGATGAGTTCCGAGTTGGATTTGAATTTTGAAATCTCAAGCTCATAATACCCTGAGAATTGCCAAAGGGAAATGTGTCTCAAAGATCTTTTTTTTTTCATTCAAACATCTATAGGAAATAAATATGATAGACTTTAGTTTTTAAAGAAAACAAGACCCAAAAGCCAGGATAAATTGCATTTCTATAAGATTCTCAAGGTTTCAGTCTTTTGTTTACAAAGACTTCTCAGTGGAAATCATACCATACTAACAAAAAGCAAAAACTAGATAATCTTTTGAAGGAGACTCTTGAACTGATTTTTTTTTTTCCCAACCAGCTCAAAAAAGATTCATTATGTTAACTCTAAATCTGAAAAGAGTTGTAACACATGCAGTAGGCAACCAGGACTTTAAGGAAAAAAAAAAAGAAAAGAAACCAAAACAGATTATCTGAAGTTTGCACCATGTCATGCTCATCTTTATATTCCTTAGAATTAGGCAGAGTATTCATCACATGGTAGGCACTCATGAAAATGTATAAAATAAGCATAAAATCATCTCCTTAAGATCCCTCACTTTAACAGATATGAAAACTGAGACCAACTAAGGTTAGGCACTTTTTCTAATGTCACCCAAGGACTTAGAGGTAGCATTTCTGCATATCCCTCCTTCTTGCCCTCTACCTTTCACTATAGGAGTATATTTGTTTAGTTTGCTAGATACAGAGACAGCAATTCAGCATTCCTCTACTCTTCATTTACATAAATGGTAGATGTACATACATGTTACATATGTGCCTATATGTTATATAATACATGTTATATATCTCATGTTTTAAATATATATATATAAATAGATGGACATTTTACTTCTGTGGCTCTTTATTGACCTTTCCCCATTATGGACAGAAACCTGGACAGGAAAAAAATTATCTTCACAAATATGGCAAATTCCAGGGTCTTTTCTAACTTAAGACCTCAAACTTTGCCATTCTGAGAGCTATGAGAGTGAATATATTACTATTCAGAAATCACATTTCTATTGTGCTTTAGTTTATAAAAGCATTTTACAATGAATTATCTTTTTAATGATACAGCATTATTGCATCTCTGTGGAATAAAAGTGATTCCCACTGTTTATGTCCCAGTTCATGTCAGATTAATAAACACACTGAGCTTCACCTACTTTAGTTCACATTTTTCTTCTTCAGCATCTGCCCAGGAATAGGTGCTAATAAATCGAGGTAATGAGGGACGGTGTTCACTCTGCTTTGACCCCAAAATACGCCTAAATAAAGATGATTATAGCCACTTGTCAAATCAAATACATCTGTCGCCATTATCAATTTATTTCCTACTGCTTAAATAAATACAAAATTATATGTCCTAATTTTTTTTTCTTGGCACATTCACAGATTTCCTATTTCATGATAAAAAACTTCATAATTATATACCAATTTACATAATTATTCTGTTTACACTTTGTACAAATCAAATATTACTATATCACTTAATTGAAGCACTCATTTAGTTTAGCCCAAGTATAAAATAGTAAGATTCCCAAAGAGGAACCATAAAATTACACTTACCAACTGCTTGACCTCCTACTGAATCGATCATTATTTTCCATCCCAGCCACCTTTAGAAGTTCAAATGTTAAAAGAAATGATAAAATATACATTTATATTTTCTGTCATATGAAAATGAATTTACCTTTGACTAAGAACACTTAGGAATTGTCTTACCATTCCTGCATTTCCAATATTTCTGGGTAAAGAGGCAATAGTCACTCTTCGAAGAGAAGGTGGCTACCAGAAGGAGGAAAGTGTACATTTAGAAAACTCTCAATAATTTATCATTGTATGCAGCACCAATGAATATCCTTGCACATGCACATCCATGCAGTTGACCACTGCTGAGTTAAACAGTAGACATATCTTATAGGATCCTCTTGTGGCCAAATTGTCTTCCAGAACTATTTTACCAGTTTATATTCCACCTAACTCAATGTTGGATTATTATAATTTATGCCAATCAAACAAATATAAGATTTCTTGTTTGGGTTTGCAATTATTTGACTTCTAGTAACATTGAACGTTGCTTTTTTACGTTAAATAATCATGTGTTTATCTTCTCTGAGAACCACCTGTTTATGTTTACCACCTTTGTCTATATTAATTTTGTTTATATTCAATTTTGTCTAAATTGAATTTTCATATTTCTGGCAGAAATGTTTTATTGTTAATCCAGCCAAATCTGTTCTTCTCTTTTGCCACGATTGCTTCTATGCTTAGAAAGATTTCTCCCAACTCAAGAGGAGATAAATATGCACCTACATGTATAGCT